TACTTTAGGTAAATATTTACCATCTCGTTATTTCATTATTTCGCTTTCCAGCATTTACAGGAAACGCTTCATTCTAGAAAATGCTATCGCAAAACGGTTGGAAATAATAAATGTAACAGCAGAATACGTCCTAGCACAGTCACTCGACTAGGAGAGTGATTGTGGTCCTAGTAATAAACTAAGTGACTTCCAAAAACTGAATGGTGTTTGCGAACTTCGTATTAGTTATAAACCGACGTTAGCTTCACGTTTACGTCACACCATGGAAACAGCCAAAAACATGGTGCTTGTGTTTGAGCGGAGCGGATCGCCAACCAGCCTACCGGCTTGTTCTGTTAGTAGTACGTTAGTATAAGTCGCCAAATCCAGTCGAACTGCACATTAGTCTGCAATTTCCCCCACGTTTCTGTGATAGCAATTTTCAATGTTACATCAATACCAAGATTTTTGTTTTACGGACGATCCATGAGCCAGATGTCTTAGCTGTATCATGGGGAGAGTAATCAGACATGGTATCCTTGAACACGTCTTGGAGTGTATTTCTCAAATAATTGTAGATTATCCGCTATAGTTCCGAAGTTTACTTTTTAATGTAAGCACACACATTCAACACTGATAAGTTACCCACTCAGATTTAATTCTAAATAACGCAACTGAATATGCTGTTCTTTATATTGCATTAATTACAACTATGCGAAGTAATTTAAAACCGATGAATGAAAATGTCTGTATAACCGACACAGAGTGACATAGTATACAGTGTAAGCCACCAGACCGTCATCTATGCTACTGTTGTTGACACCATATGACCACTGTCTTCAGCATGCATTATTTTTTACAGCTAGAACAAAGCACATATACATTAAGTGTGTGAAATGATAAGTATAACAAAATATTTAACATAAATTATTATCATTATAATTATTATCATTATTATGTAGCCGAATACCGTTCACACAGTTATGGTCGACGACCTTTCGACGCACAACTTAATTTAGCTGTACTCAAATCAGCCCTTTAAAGCGGAAGAGTTGTCAATTGCGCACGCGCGGGAGTTGAGTCCCAAGCGATGATAACAACACACGCTAAGAACGCAAAGGCTCATGGTTAGACGCTTGTTTGTAAACAATGAGACGCTATGGCCACCTGACGCATGCGTAGGTGACGACTCCCCGCTTTAACAGACATATTATTTTCAGGAAACAAATTTAATAATAATTTTTTTTTTTATTCATAATAATACTGTAGTCCTACGGCCTCAAGGTATACTCATTGTAATTACATAACATTTTACAGAAACAAATACTGTTGAACTTACCTTCCGGTAACTACCCAGCTATCACCAAGTTCATTCACATCATGGGTATAAGCGCCATTTGCCATCTGAAAACCTTTGAAATCTTCGGTTTGATTGTCAGGTAGTTTGTTGCCTAGCAACCCACACAGGTTGCCAATAAGGGTCGAGTTTTTGTGAATACCTACAATCAATCGATGATTGCCATTTTGTCGAACCTTCATCCACTCGATCCACCAATCGCCGGAAATTGAAAAGATGATGTGAGTGCTGTTATTGATTAATTGTATCCCGGCACTGGCGTCAGCAGTTATATTAGCTCCATCCACTTTCACACCATTCTGGAAGACAAATGTTGAAACGTGTCATGTATGTTATGATTACAAATCAAAGAACTCGACAACAACAAAAACAACAACATAACCATATCATAAACTATGACAGTTGTTTCAAAAAATGTTGTATGTCTGAATAATAATATTAATTGTTTACTCATTGTTTACATTATTCAAATTAGGGTCTCGGGGATTAAAAACATTCCCATCAGCTCAAAGTAGCTGGTGAAAAAAAGTAATTCTAAATCTAATTCTAAATTTTTAATCTCATATTGGTATTATATCTGATGAAGTGAAAATAGCATATCCAACCAGATCGTAGAACAGCAAGTCGTATTGGGGAATTTAGCAGGAAATAAAATTTGTCATGAACTGTTGAAAAGCCTTGTGATTCCCGGAGAAATCAGTAAAAGGTTCTCCACAAGTTATACAAAATGGGAATGCAATCGCTTTCATTATTTTAATTTGATTTTCAAAAAAAAGTATTAAATCGAAAACCTATTGAGATACGGATATCATTTACAATACCAATATGATTCCCTTGTCGTTGAGAATAATTGTGTTGCCTTGGGCAGTGATCTCTGCGCTCTCTATTCGACGAGCACCATTTTGTGAGGACTTAACAACTTCACCATGTTTGGCAACCACTTTCATTTTGTACGAAGATTCTTTACAGGTCTGGGCCAGGATGTAGCTACAAGGACCGCTATATTGGATGCGATGATTATCAAATCTTTCATAGTGTGGGTCACCTTGTCCACAGCCTGGGTCACATGGGCAATCTGTGTGAAAGAACGTGCGGTTAATTAATAATAAGTAATTGGCCATAAAACTAGCTGATGGCGTTTCACATATAACTCTGTATTCTTCACAGTTCTCAGCGCCATCTCATCTAAGGTTTTAGCTCTTACGCCAACCATTGATAGTTTGTTTCAAGCAAAGAACATTCTTTGAAATGCCTGGCAATATTAGTGGTCCATAGAAATGGACGCACATGGAAAAAAATGATATAATTAAAATTCCTAAAATTCTAATCTGATCGAATGACATTATATTATATTCATACCATTATATTTTTATGTGACTATGAAGAATACCTGTTTGCAAACTGAACGATCCAACAGCCTTCGAGCATTTCGGTTTTCGCAACTGGCTTTGTATGTACGTGGTAGTACATGGTTCATATGGTCCAAATGCCATAGTGAATGTTGTCGACCCCAAAAAGCTGAACACAGGATTTTTGTAGACAACTGTCCATTTATTAGGAATATGTTTGGGATCCGTGTATGACTTTATGTCCAGCCAGCCACCTTTAAATTTTCCAGATAAATCCATCACCCAAAACGTAACGTATTCGCATGTTGCAAAGACCGTATACACAACCACTGTGCGGAGAACAATACATAATACGTATTACTTTCGTTTCACAAAAAGTAAAATTGAAGATTTTATCTACATTAGGGACTGGGCTTGCAATACCAAGGGGAGGGTCGTCGTATGAGGGGGAGGGTCACTCCTATACCTGGACAAGTTTGCTGAGGGGTCACATATTTCTAGGACAGGCATAAGAGGAGCGTCACGTATTATTGGTTCACCAGCAGTTTTTTTAGTAGTGTAAAATATAATGCTTTACAAATATCAACAATCGAAAACAGTCAAAGAATACTTCCTATTTATATATCTTACTTTTGGTATCAGTAGCATTATGGGTGAACATCTTTGTTTAACTTATTAGTGTGACTTACTACAGGCTGCTTACTCAGCTCACATGTGGAACAAAATGTACTCACTTATTGTGAAACACCTGCTTATAAAGGGCGGGGGTCGTCGCGCAGCGCATGTTCAAGTTTCATGTGAACATACAATGTATTTTACACGTGGTGTGTAGGTCGCTGTGAGTCCCATATCGAACAGGACGCGGTGCGAGGACTGCCTCGTAATGTAATATTATTAGCGAGGGTCAAACAATTTTGGTTCCTGTAGTGCGAGCTGGTCGTACAATTTTGGTAACTCTCTTTTCTCAATTATCTAGTCCGTTACTGTGCTGTCTCTCTTTTCTCAATTATCTAGTCCGTTACTGTGCTGTCTCCCTTGTAAATTCCCTATGTATAATACGATGTTTCAACCGTATATTAACTTATAGTCCAATTTAACTAAATAAATAGATTACCTATCCTCTGTTGGACGGGGTCACATTGCGAAAATAAACGCCTTGAATTGATTGGTCAAGAATGACATCGATTTGCATATCATTTGCATGCACTTAAAGTGAATGATTGCTATGGTAGCATTGCTCGTTGCTACAATCATTTACAGTAATATATGGCAATGTTGTTGATATCTTTAATACCCGTAGATATAATCATGGCAGAATTGGTGGTCCATAACAATAGACAGATGAAAACTCACTATAGTATCAATAATAGCTTTCCTTTAAATTATTCTCGAGTACAACATTCTAGACTTCCCTACATACCGTCATTTAAACCTTTCATGATAGTTCCTCTTTTTGAAACGGTGGTGTCATTCCTCATGTTATACATTGCCATGAATTCGTCCAAAGATAGAACAATAATCTGAGCAATTAACAAATTAAGATAGTTTAATAACTTGCAAATGAGGTGTATATATTGGAATACTCGTGCGATTAGATTTACATATTTAGCCATGACAGATGTGACTAACTATAATGCCTGTATATCTGTAGAATATAGCTATATAGTGCCG